GGGGTGAGTGTATCCTCCACATGTGTATCCTCCACATAGGGTGAGTGTATCCTCCACGCGGGTATGGCGTTTGGGGTTCCCCCGAATGTGGGCGTACTCGATGCCACTGGTTTTGGCCCACTGTTTGATGAGTACGCCTAGAGCCGTGACACGCGGGTCGATGCGTGCATAGGCTCGGAGGAGTCGGCTGTTGTGGATACCCACTTGCCGCCCGACAGAGACGTCGGCCTCGACGACGTAAAGGTCTCGCTCGGTAGCGTGTATGTCGCTGAGGCGGCCGTCATCGACTCGTGTGTCGGGTCTGGCGGGGAGTAGGGCGGCCGAAAGGGCTCGTGTGCTGGCGAAGTCGAGAAGGCCCTCCTTGCGCTCTTTTAAGTCACGCCAGAAGAGCGCAAACATTTTGAGTAAGGTAGTTACCCCGGCTTCCAAGTCGCCGCCTTGGTCGGTCTGATCGCCGCCTGGGTCGGTCTGATCGCCGCCTTGGAGGATTCGTTGTGCAAGGACGGGATCTGCGAGACTGACGAGAGCGGGGGTCCAGCCAGAGTAAATTGTTTCTGCGCAGATTTCGGCGGCGACCGCTCGCGCAATGTGTGTGCGCACACGTGTGCGCGACATGCCATGAGCTTGGGCGAGGAGTTGGAGCATGTCTGCGTCGGAATCAGCGCAGCGCGCAGCGCAGGGTGGGACTTTGCGGAGGAGGTTGACCATGGCGGTACCTGGGGCGGCGTCCGGGCGAAAGGGAGCCGGCAGTTCGCAAGGTAGAGCGCGTTGGGCGTCGACGCAAGCCAGAACCCGAATGATCGGGACATAGGCGCTCTGGACGCATTGGACGCTCCAGCCAAACAAGCGGTGGGCTGCCCAGGCGAATTTTCGGTTCAGCCAGATGGCGGCGGCAGTGGGTCCTACTTTCTCTTCGAGCCAGCTCCAGTCACCTACGAGGGAGACGGGTTGCGTCTGGGACTGGGCGGGGAAGACGTTAAGGTCAACACCTCCTGCGTCCCGGACAGCGCGGGCCTCAGAGAGAAGACGCTGCTGCTGCGTGGCACTGACCATCAGGACGACGTCGATATCGGACTTGACGGTCGCAAATCCGGTCGCCCCCGAGCCATAGAGAAAAAGCTGAGCGCCGAAGAGGGACGTGGCCAAGTGGTGCAGACGCTCGAAGACCAGCGCCATAGCGTCCACGCGACACTGCAATTGTTTCGGCCTCTTACCAGCGGCGACCGCCCGCAATGTCTCAGCAGGCGCACTCTCCAACGCCAGCTCACTTACTAACTGCCACAGCGTCTGCTCCACGCGCGGGACGGCCAACATGTGAGTAGGCGCGCCTTCGGCTAACGCCCGCGGCCGACACTGTGGGAAGACGAAGTAGTTCAGCTGGAACAGTCGAAAAGCCGCCATGGTTTGTAACTTGCGGTGGTACGTCAGCCCCGTCAAAGTCATCCCGAACTTTATCGTAAAGTGCGGCCACAGTGGCGGACAATCCAAATGCAGACTCAATACCTCCAACAATCTACTGCAATAAGACATCGCATTCAACACCTCCGGGTTCGAATCCTTCTGACGTCGCAAACAAAAGGCTACTTGGAATAGCAATTCTAAGATAACCAACAACGATAACCCGAAGTCCGGACCCCGGTCACCCAATAACTTGAGCAACTCATTCTCGTTACCCAACTCACAAATCAAGGACGCCAAGTCCGACGAATCCAGTGGCGCTCGGTGCTCTTCAGACTTGAACGATTTCTTTTCCTCCTCAGAAACATCCGCCATCGGGTGATGCGCCGCACAGTAAGACAAGAGCGCCTTCAGCGCCCTCTCGTCCCGAATACACCTCCGCAATATCTCGTACAACACCGGATGCAACTCTTGCCGAATGTGCGGCCGGAGTGCACTCCACACATTCGCACTATACCTCAAAGACGGTCGCGAGTGCTCCGCCGCTGCCTCGTACATTTAACAAAAAATCGCCGTCCTCACCCAACCCTCATCTCTCCAACACCACCGCGCCAAACACTGTCCGCTCGGCTACGACCCACCACAACACACCCGCCACATATCCACCCCACCCACGCACCCGCTGCACTACACCTCGAGACAAAAACAAACAGCTGCGGGCTTTTGGGAATTTTTTGGGCCTTTTTGCAACCATGGCTCGTATGCATGTGCTCGCCGATGCGCTGAAGGCTATCGTCAACGCCGAAAGGGCCAACAAGAAGCAGGTCCTCATCCGTCCTTCTTCTAAGGTCATCGTCAAGTTCCTCCGAGTCATGCAGAAGCATGGTAAGAAAATTAATCCAGCGCACACGTGTGCGAAAGCGCGCGCAAACACTCATGCCCTCAAAAACACTCGCCGGGCGGGCGAAATACTCGCCGGGCCGGATAAACACTCCCGGAGGGGGCTGTCTGAAAATAAGAGTAATGATTTTGTAGGCTACATCGGCGACATCGAGATCATTGACGATAAGCGCGCTGGCAAGATTGTCATCAACCTCAACGGGCGCATCAACAAGTGCGTGTGCATCAACCCCAGATATGACGTTGCCATCAACGATATGGAGAAGATCACCTCCCAGCTGTTGCCTTCTCGTCAATTCGGCTACGTCGTGCTGACCACTTCCAAGGGAATCATGGATCACGAGCAAGCCAGAAGGAGCCATCAGGGTGGCAAGATCCTGGGTTATTTCTTCTAGACCGTTTTTTCCTCATAAACACCCTACTTTGCCCGGCCATGAAACGCTACCACGAGCACGGGGCCATTGACGACTGGTTCATTGGTAGCTACTTCATTAGCAACCGACCTCATCAGGACCAAAAAAAACTGAGGAGTAACTCCTGTCATTGATAGCAAAACTATATTCACCGATAGTGTCGATATTCTTCATTCCACCGTCACACGTTCAATACGATGGGAGACGGAGGTGAAGATCTCGTAAGAGATCGTGCCGAGGACATCGGCTAATTCGGACACTTTGGGACTGTCTCCGAAGACACAGACTGTGTCGCCGACTTGGGCTTGGACACCGGTGATATCGAGCATGCACATGTCCATGCAGATGTTCCCCAAGGTCGGGACTCTTTTTCCGTTTAGGATAAATGAACAGTTGCCATTTCCGAGTCTGCGGTCAATGCCATCCGCATAACCGATAGGGATTGTAGCAACGACAGTACCTTCAGGAGCCAGTTGTCCTCGACGGCCGTAGCCCACGGTGCCATCTTGCGCCGTCAAATGCTTGATTTGGAGAATCTTGCACTTGAGAGACGCAACTGGAGCGAGCTCGATCGTTGGAATTGCGCTGATTCCATATATACCAATTCCTAAGCGAACCATGTCATATTGATACTGGGGAAACCGTTCTATTCCAGCTGAATTAAGAATATGATAAATGGGTCTATAACAAAGTCCTTTTGAAAGCATGTTAGCATTCTTCTCAAACATCTTTATTTGCGCTATAGTATAATCGTCACTTTTAGGATCTTCAGAAGCTGCAAGATGCGAAAAGACGGATGCTACTGCAACAAATGGACACTTTAAAAGATACATTATTAACTCGTCAAGCTCTGATGTCATGAACCCAACCCGATGCATTCCCGTATCAAGTTTGATATGAATAGGATACTTCCTCATCTGATTGCCTTTCGTCATCTGATTGCCTTTCGTCATCTGATTGTCTTTCGTCATCTGATTGTCTTTCGTCTGATTGTCTTTCATAACTTCACAAAATGCCTTGAGTGTAAACATATTCGGGATACTCGGTTCTAGCTCTTTTTCTAGCATCTCCTCAATCGTCCGACGACGTAGATCCGTACCCGGCGTCAAAATTACAATACGTCCCCTTATCCCTCCCCTACGAAGCTCCACTCCCTCAATCGGATATGCTACAGCGAGATAATCTGCCCCCGCTTGCTCCATCATTGACGCGAACCTCACAGCGCCATGGCCATAGGCATTCGCCTTCACAAGTACCAGCAATGCCGTTGTCGGTGATAACTTGCTTCTGAAATACTTATAATTTTTAAGGCAGTTCCCCAGACTTATTTCGAGTCTTGAGCAACCATCTTGTTCCGGGTCATTTACCTTCTTGAGGTCATTTACCTTCTTGAGGTCATTTTGTTTCGAGGCGACTTGTTCTATCATTTCGTTTCTGGTGTTGCTTACAGGTGGTCTTCGTATATAGGTGGTCTTCGTGTGTTGTGTGGTCTTCGTGTGTGTGAAAAGAAGTAAATTTGTAAAAGCATTTTCTTATTAATCGAGATTGTAGTAGACCAGAACGGCAGGATGATTTAGGGGGTATTTAATTTCGGTGTTAAAGATGGGTGAAGGGCGAAGAGGACCGAATGGGAAGAAGAAGGCTCGTGAGACGGCAGCGTCAAGGATAGTGAGAAGAGCTACTACTGACAGTCATCAATTTTGTACCCGTACTGGTGCTTTGAAGCGTTTGGGTTTAGGTCTTGAAGAGTTTCGGGAAATATGCATTCTGAAGGGTGTGTTTCCCAAGATGCCTAAGCAGCCGGCTAAAGGTCGTGAGAGGATATATTATCATCTTAAAGACATTCGTTATATTGGCTCAGATCCTGTGTTAATGAAATTACGTCAACAACGCTTGTTAGCGAAACGTTTCCATAAAGCCATCAGTAAGAAGGATCGTACATATGCTAAGAACATAAAGGAGGAGATGTCCATTAATGTTAATCTGACTAACATCTTGAAGGAGCGTTATCCTGCTTTAATTGATGCTTTACGGGACTTGGATGATGCACTAACACTTGTGTCTTTATTCGCTGCGATGCCTTCACGTAACCAAGAAAAGATCAAGGGTGAGGATTTGGTAGAGTGTCGTACTCTTATTGACCAATGGATGTTATTGACATCTGAATTGGGCTGCATCAATAAGGTGTTTGCTTCTATTAAAGGTTATTATTATGAAGCCGAAATCCTAGGCCAGAAAATCGTTTGGCAGATGCCGCACGAATTTTCAAATTTCCATGTTGAAGATGTGGACTTCGGTGTAATGGCAACTTTCCTACAACTGTACCGGTTTCTGTTAAAGTTTGTCATGTTCAAACTCTACGCTATGGCCGGCATGGTCTACCCTCCTACCCCTAAGATCGAGGGACGACGAGAAGGTCGTTTCTTGGGTCTGCAACCGGTGTTAAATCATGGTGCTTCTGCGCCCAAATTTACATTGGCAAATGGCGCTACTAACCGCGATGAAGACGATGACGCTCCCGTCCAACTTGTTTCCACTGAACCAGACAGTGTGCGCCGTCGCCAGCTCTTCGCCAAACAAACTGTTTACGTCAGTCGAGAGACGCCGGTCTTCCACTTGGCCTATGTGTTACGAGCTGCCGGCGTTAAGGTCGTCGGCTTCGACGAGGTCCAGCGCACACTCTCGCCCCTCGATATGACCGACGATACTATCACACACCAAGTTGTCGACCGTCCCACCAATAGCTGGGCACGGCTTCAGAACCAAATTGGTTCTGCCGCTGCTGCTACTCGCAACTTCGTCCAGCCCCAGTGGGTCCTTGACTCCTTCAACTCCAATGCACTCCTGCCCATGGCTCCCTACGCCATCGGCGCCGTCTGCCCACCCCACCTCAGTCCCTTCGGCGACACCCTTGGACACATCCCCCAACAACAAAAGACTCTCGAAAAATGGTCCAAGGAAGCACACACTGGACACCCCGCCACCGTCGATTCTGTTGAAACAAACCAACCGGACCAATCCGACGATGACGACGAACTCATGAACATACCGGCAGAGACACTCAGCGACGGTGAACCAACTAGCGCCTCCGACAACGACGCGCCGGGCTCCAGCGACCAAGATGGAGTCAGCGACCAAGATGGAGTCAGCGACCAAGATGGAGTCAGCGACCAAGATGGAGTCAGCGACCAAGATGGAGTCAGCG